TTTTCCCTTCCTTCCTTTCTTCCCATCTTGAATTATTTGTTCTTCTTTCTGTTCCTTTTTCCTTTCCTTTCCTTCCTTTTTCCCTTTTTTCTCCTTCCTTCCTTCCTCCCTCCCTCCCTCCCTCCCTTCCTATTTTGAATTATTTGTTCTTCTTTCTCTTCCTTTTTCCTTTCCTTTCCTTCCTTTTCCCCTTTTTTTCTCCTTCCTCCCTTCCTCATGATCTCGAGCATCTGGTTCTTCACTGCAAGAACAAGAGAGAAACCGGAGAGGAGGAGGAAGAAGAGGAAGAGGAGGAGGAGGAGGGGGGGGGAGGAGGGAGGGGAGGGGAGGGGGGCTTCCCCAAGACCGGACATAGCAGGCCTGACTCCTTTCTCTCTCCGGTGGGCCAAACAGGACCCAGCCTCCTCTTCATCACCTACGCCGAGGCCATCGCCAACATGCCCGCCTCCACCTTCTTCGCCATCATTTTCTTCCTGATGTTGATCACCCTGGGACTGGACAGCACGGTGAGGAGAGGAGGGTGACGGGTGGGGCTTCACGGGTGGGGTCAGAGGGGACCCTGGGTGGGATTCAACCGGCGTAGCAGCCGTTGCGGTGAGGGCGTGCTTTGCGCGGGATGTAAGGCATTGCCAGCTTTAAGCTGCGTGGACCTCAATTCCCAGAATTCCCCAGCCGGCAACATTGAGAAACCCTGGAATAAATAGATCTAGGCAATGGCCGGGGAGGTTGTGAGCAAAGGGTGAGGGACTAAGAACAAGAACTGGGGGTGGAGGGGGGAATCTCCGTTGCCCGCGTTGAAATTTCGACTTCTCCACTGAGCAGGGGGTGAGACTAGATGACCGCCAAGGGGCCCTCCAACCCTAGGGATTGGAATTCCAGGAAGTGCACAGCTGAGAGTTGGCAGGAGTTCTGAACGTTGCATAATAGAATGAGAAGGGACTTCGGAGCTTCCTTCCTTCCTTCCTCCCTCTTTTCCAGTCCCATTTTCCTTTCATCCTTTTACCTTCCTTTCTTCCTTTTTCTCATTTTTTCCTTCCCTTTATCA